GCAGGTCGATTGGAGATGGTACAACTGCTCCATGGCACCTGATCCCAAATCTGTTTTTTTTTTGATCAGTGTTTATTCTGCTCAAAGTGTAGTTTCATAGACCTTTAAGCTGGGTGTACATTTATTTACTTGCCTTTACCTGTCTCCATTTGTAATTAGTGTCCCCCGCATTCATGAAAGCAAAGTGAGAAGTGGTGTAAAATTGTAAATCAGATGCATATGTTTTAAAACTCTATAAAGGAATGTTTCTATCATCAACTTCCCTTACTGAGGGGACATTAAATCTCATTCTTCTGTCTAGCTGTCTTCCTGTCACAAAAACTTTAACCTTGGTCATAACTTTTGAATGAGAAGAGATAGGGATTTCATATTTTACATGTACATTACTTGTGCCAAGACCTTTCCAAATATACCATGAGTTGACCCAATGACCCCAACCTTAAACTTCGACATACTTTTAAATTGGTCAAGACTTTTGAAAGAGAAAAGATAAAGCTTTCATTTCAACCATTTTTGTATTTGAGAAGAATGAATGGAAACTGCAAATAATTGGAATTTTTCTAGTCAAAGGGGTATAACTCTGTCAAAAATGGTGCGATTGTACCCAACTTGCCCTAGATATTTATCTGATAAATATATATACTAAATTCCATTTCAGTAAGTGCAACCTCTGCGAAGAAAATGAACAGAAACTGCAAATAATTGGAATTTTTTTAAGTCCAAGGGGCATAACTCTGTCAAAAATGATGCGATCGTACCCAAAACAGAACTTGACCTAGTATTCATTTGATATATCTGTATACCAAATTTCATTTCAGTATGTGCAACGGTTGTGAAGAAAATGAACGGAAACTAAGTGGACCAACAGACAGTAGCAAAGCAATATGCCCTCCCTCCATCGAAGAAAGGGGGGCATACCATAATAAATATTCTATTTTGATACAATTTTTTTGGATGCAAAATGAATGCTGCATCATAAACCAACTAAAGCAATTCTGGAAGACTGATTTGATTTACAATTTAATTAAATTAGTGACTAGGTAAGCCACAGTATGATGTCACCAGGAATATAATGGAATGACATACATGAAATTACAAATCAATTCCTCTACTTTAATGCCATGTTTGATTACAAAGAAACTGAACCTAGATTACGACTATTCAATTTTACTTTGATTTTCGAAAGTGACTCCTGATTTTTGCAATTATGAATCCATTTCTCAAGGTTTTACTTGAAATAAAAATAGGTGATGCTGTATGTGTAGCCATATTTTCTTGAAACTAGGATTTTCAGCATGATCTGTTTAAAGTGAAATAGATAGCCACCATCAAAATGAAAGTAACAAACATAAATATATGTGACCATGAATGTATACATACTTAATAATTGAAATCTTGTTTGGTTTTTACCATACTGATGTATTTTAATCTAAATCCAATTTCCTGGTAACCAAACATTGCAATGAAGTTTATCACAAAGCAGAACATTTTAATAAAAGCAAATACATGTAGCATCCATGTAATAAATTAATAATTAATGATTTTCATTCATTTAGTTACCGTGCCTTTTCTTAAACATGTAATACAAGCCTATATAAACAACCGCTGGATTTTACATTCTTTCTATCCAATAACTGATTATTGATACTTTTGTGATTGATTGCATGATTCAGATCCATATGATTGATGAGGAAATGTTATCAAGCAATAATAAAATTAGAAACAATATTTTTTCTTCAATACTTTTTTGTAAAAGAATATTTTCTTCAGCTAATTTCTGTTCCTTGTTTCAAAATTGAAGAGATAAATCTAAATAGCTTAGATGTAAATAATCAAATATTGTACAGTGGACCTTCAGATATCCGGACGCCAGATATCTGGATGCTTCAGTATCCGGACGCTTTTTCATCGGAACAAAATTTTAAAATGTTATTATGTCTTTTTTAACTGGTGATTCAGGTATTCGGACGCTTCACATATCCGAACAAATTGATTGGGAACCAAAGCGTCCGGATAAATGAGGCTCCACTGTACATAACTGATTTTCATTCATAAAATGATCAAATTAAAATTAGTTGTTTTTTTATATGATATCACCTGAATCAAAAGAAAATTAAACCAATTCTCAATTGCACACCCATTCATTTGTGATTAAACACTTTTTATTCCAAACATTATAATTGTAACTCCTGTACAATTTCTTGACTGTACTTTCTGTAAAATAATTTAAAACAAATAGAGATTCTTGATCAATGATTTACATTATAAATGGCCAGTCTTGGATATGTTAGCTGCTAAACCATCACTGTCAGTCTGAAAACCAAAATACACACAAACAGCTGAGAAATATAAGTCCTCATCACAGTCTTAAGTAAGTTTGAGATCCTTTGCCAGCATGGTCGCTGTTGTGTTGTGCATCTCCCCTTTGTGAGTCTGGAAGTTCTGTATGGCTATTGGTCTAGCTTCTTCCCAGCCATACAGGTCCCTAGGTAAAATTATTGCTCAAGTAAATCAGTCTTACATGAATGTACAACCAATCACACTTCAGACTTCTAAATTGTCTGATCCCAGGGTATTCATTTTGAACAGTAAAACTGAAAATGTTGATAATTTTTACCACATTTTTTTTCAGATTTTAACTAAAATTTTGATCCAACTTAAGGAGAGGCCTGACAATTTTTTTTTGAAAGTCATATATAAACTTAAAGGATTTTAAATTTGATTTTGATCCATCTCACCTATATAGAGGTCTGACAAATTTCATCCGTCCTTGTTCATTTACAAAGTCTAGCACCCTGGGAATAGCATCTTTCCACTGGGCCTTGATACACAACCTCAGCCAGCTACAGAAGAAAACATTCTCTAAATTTATGAAGGGCTATATTTGTGTGAACAATTTTTAATAATGTAGATTTCTCATTTTACACAAGTACTTGATATCGTGAAATGGTCCTTAGCCTTCAAATAATGAAAAATTTAATTTGCGAGAGGATGGTTAATCTAGAGAATTGCATGATCATTAGCACCATGAAAATAATGAGCAAGTAATTTTATTTTGCAAGTGCTGCACAAAATTATGCAATAAGTTATTTCTCATGTACATGTGTATATATATTAAGGAATCTACAGTATCCTTTTAAATTACTACACAATTTTTATCCTGAATCTTTGTTTCTTGCATGGATCCATCTTTTTTTTTTTCTATATCTTTACAGAATTTTATATTTATAAACACATGGATGTGTAATTACAAACCGAAATCTGACTTCTGAATTCCTGACAGCATTCAATTTATACAGTTCCTCCATCTTCAACACTTTGGTAAGTGATAATGGTGGCTGAAAAAAATCAGCAAATCCATATGCTATTAAAGAATTTTAAAATATGCGTAGGCATATACATAGTCTAGCTTTTACATTCGAACTTGAGGCAATTAAATCCTTTTCATCAAAACCTACATTTTTTTTTAATATTTTTTGGAATATTCCCCATATATACAGTACAAGTCCAGAACACTATATATTTGTATAGATTTCCCTTTATGAATGTTTGAGACGCCATTGTGATTATAGCCTGAGCAATTGTGCTTATAGAAAAATAAATGTAGATAAATTCATATGGGGTTATGGTGGGAAAGGACAGTAAAGATATGCAAATATAATGAAGTATATCTGAAATGAAACACTCTAGAGGAAAAACCCCTACATAAACAAATGCATGGGCGCAGACACCCAAAGTTGTGCGGAGGAGAAAATGCTAGCTGGCGCGTGATTGGTCAAGAAGAGAAAAGACTTGTTATGTATTTGACAAGTGAAATAAAGTTGATAAAAATCTCATATCAAGACTTGGGTTTCTTTGAGGTGTATAGGAGTTACAGGTAAAAATTTGAAGGGAGGGATGCACTTTGGTTAGAGATTTTCATTTGGTGTCAAACGCACCTATAGTTGTAAACAAATGGAAATTGAAAGTAAAAGTGCAACGGCATGGTATATTTTTTCTGGCATTTTTTGTTTTCCAATATCTCGAACTTTCACGACAAAAAGGTCATTTGCCCGAAATTCAATACATGTATGAGTGAGAGGGGCTAAAGTTTGTAGGGAAGTCTATGGGAAAACATTTGGTGGTGTTTGTCCTATAGAATAGGTATGATTTCATGGATAAAAATTGATTACAGCCAAAAAATCAACCAGTTCCTATTTTTATGGCATTGGGATTATATTTTAGTTAGTTTTGACTATTTGTTTCAATTGAGGCTCACAATATGGACTGCACATAGTGAAAAAATGCAAAAATTTTTGCCCTAGCTCTCATATTTTCAATAAATGTTCATGTAAATAATTCTAAATAAATATTCATACCGAAATTTACTGTGAATATTGTAAATAATACAATATCAATATTTATGGGCATCCCCCTCGCAGTTTGAGAAATTCATTTAAATCTATGTATTTTATGAGTGTAGACTTGGAACAGATTGAGTAATCCTCTTTCAAATTTGTGTTGATCAGAGTTGATTGAATAATTTATAACAAAATTTGACTGCTGTTAACTAATTAGGTTACTTTGTTTTTACATAAGGGGCATAATCCAGCAGAAAAGCCAGTTTCAGTCATGTAATCAGTGCTGGCTTGAAATAAATTTAAAGTTATATTTTTGGTGAAACTTAGAGATTACTTGTAGGAAATTTAATTGAAATTACAGTACAATATATATTTTTGCAGAAAATACATTGAAAATGCAATAAATATGCAAAATTATAACTGAAAAAATTATGAAAAAGGTGTCTGAATATCCCTCCTCCTTGCCATATCCAATCTTGATATTCTGCTGAAAAGGGGGGGGGGGGTAATTTTGTGCTCTAATCATGATGGAAAATGAAGGATTTCTGTTTAAATTTGGTTTATTTGAATAACAAGAGTCATGTTTATCTGCAGTTATTTTTTTTCAATTTCTTTGATATTTTTAAAATAATTATCTGAGTAAATTCTATTTTAACATGATTATTTTAAAGGTATTACATCACAAATGCTTTAAAAAAATTCAAAAGATGGTGTAAATAATAAAGAATTATTATATAAGCTACTAGATGCATTTATCAGTATGTTTTAATAAAATAAAATGTATTTCAGCAATGCATTATCAAGAAGGAAGAGATTAATGAACCCTACCCTCTTACAATGAACAACACATGGACACTCTCGGGATGATCCCTTTGCTTTCATTAAGAGTTCCAAGGTATGGTTTTCTTAGAAAATCTAGTTAATCTCTTAATATTTTAAAAGTTATTTAGAACTTTTTATAGATTATCAGAAAATAAATTTCCTCAGAACTGCAGTTATTTAAACATTTTGCGTACAATTGAGCACTGTATTCAGTCAGACAATATGATTTATCTGCCCTTGGCATTCAATCAATTTATTAATTATGTCAATAATAAGAAATGATATGCAAATAAATATATTTGCCTTTTATGAGAATATACATATTTAACATCAATTACATGAAATGTTCATGAAAATTGGCTAAAATGTAGGTCACCCCCCTTCAAAATTACAAAATTTTCAGTGGGGATGTATTTGATTCTCTGATGCCAGCAACCCACTGCTGATAGAATTTGTTTTAATCTTATGTACATTTGAACTAGATATAATTCTCTTTCTTTCCATTGATTATTTCATCTACATTAGTTTTCACTCTTTCCATAACCCAGCTTTTTCTTAAAAAAACCTGCTGATTTTCTTCATTTTTCATTAATAACGGGTACCTGCTACCCTGAATGATTAACATAATCTACCTTGAGAAATTATTAGAGATAATAAGAAAAACAAGCAAAACATATGCTAGATTAATCATTTTATTTTAAAAGTTTGAAAGAAAAATAGAAAAATACTTCAATTTATAGACATTTTTTCTGTTTCACAGATGTTGGTCTGATTGACTGGGGTGTGAAATGTAACAGCCAATGGTGTACTTAAGCTAAGACTGTCAGTCCCAATATTCAAGAGGTGAGATAAGCAATGGATATGTGTTCTAAATTTAATAAATTGACCAGTTTTTATAAATGTTTCTTTTACTCTATAGGAAAAACCCCTACATAAACAAATGCATGGGCGCAGACATTTTGGACACCCAAAGTTGTGCGGAGGAGAAAATGCTAGCTGGCGCGTGATTGGTCAATAAGAGAAAAGACTTGTTATGTATTTGACAAGTGAAATAAAGTTGATAAAAATCTCATATCAAGACTTGGGTTTCTTTGAGGTGTATAGGAGTTACAGGTAAAAATTTGAAGGGAGGGATGCACTTTGGTTAGAGATTTTCATTTGGTGTCAAACGCACCTAGTTGTAAACAAATGGAAATTGAAAGTAAAAGTGCAACGGCACGGTATATTTTTTCTGGCATTTTTTGCTTTCCAATATCTCGAACTTTCACGACAAAAAGGTCATTTGCCCGAAATTCAATATATGTATGAGTGAGAGGGGCTAAAGTTTGTATGGAAGTCTATGGGAAAACATTTGGTGGTGTTTGTCCTAGAGCATGATACTTTCCTTTTCCATTACTTTCTTACCTCCTCCACCAGAAGAGCTAGGAATTCTCTGACCTGTACAGAGGTCAAAGAGGTAAGGTCACTGGGGTTAAATTGGTCCAGTTCATTCTCACCGGCTGATGACCACTTCTTGGACAGCTGTTTACAGGGGACCTCTAGACTGTCGTCATACCTGTAGTAAATCAAATAGAAATTTAACAGGTATAACCTATAGAAATGATGGCAACATACCAGAAATGAACTAGGTCTGTCAAGTAATTTTTTGACCATTGTATACTATGATAGCTGTTCATATAATACACTGTATTTTCATTACTTTTGTGTGCAGTAGAACAATTACATCTGAATATTGTGGACAGACACTTACTTTGGTATAATGGGTGGCATTCCTTGATCATAAAACCATTTATCCCATTCCACACTGTCTAACACTTCTCTCTAAAATTGTAACATTTTTTACAATTTATATAGAGAGATATTATTATTTCATCTATTTTGCAAAAAATAACCCAAACTCTAAATGCAGAGTATGAAAATAATGATTCTTAGATGATCGAGTTATTATTACCTTGTCAGTGAAATAGGAGTATAGGAAATCCTTCCATTGGTTTGAGTCTATAGATTGCTGTTTAAACTTCTCTACATAGGCTTTCAGAAATTTTTCAAACACAGCTGAAATGTATACCATATATACATGCATAACTTATATCCTATTAAGGTATATAATATCTTGGCTTTCTATACTCTAAAAGTGGTTATTTACGCTGGTGTTAAGTATGCGTTTGTGACCATCAAACATTCACGTGGGTGTAAAATACGTGGTCGCACGAGCTACTGAGAAAAATTTACGCGTACTATCATCGACTTGTTTCCCTTTGAAAATAAGAAGAAAATCAAAAATAATTACAACAAACTAAACAAATCAAAATGAATTTCTCCTGTTGGATTGGTCCAGCTGAGTGTGAACAACTGGAGTACACTTTATTGTAGTTATTTATGCAAGCTCAAATTTCAAAGTGGGATCTACTTACCTGTATCTGCGCGTCGAGTGCACAGGTTGACAATTAATTTAATAGGTATGTTTGAAGTAACATGTATGTAACATTTTGACTAATTATTTGAAATTGAGAGAGACACATACGAATATACGAAGGAAATAAAAAATGAGTATCGATGTTTTAACTTTTAATTGCGTGATGCTGCTTTAAAATATTTAATATGAAGATGTATTTTTCATCGCACAATTAAAAAAATGAACAGTTACATTTTCATGACTGTTTGTGATATATTTATATACTTATTGATATACTTATCTACTAACGTGAGTTCAATACCCCAATTAATATACGACTGGTTCAACCGGTCTAATCTAGAATTATTCCAGAAATTTGAAATTTTGTAACCATGCGCCCGAGGGTATTTTATGTGGTTCTTCGCTTACCGCGTAAGTAGTGTAAATTTCCCCCACGTGCAAATAACCACTTTTACAGTAGTCAAAGACCTAAAATCTTGCTTGAAACAAAAACTAAAATACAAGTAGAGATAAAAAGGGTATATTTTTACTGCTTTTGCTAACAAGAGGCCCAAGGGCCTTGAATCGCTCTTCTGATAAATTGTACAACCTATCACTTCTATTTGAAGCCTCTAACCCTAAGTATTCTAAGAGCCAAGTTGTATCAACTGACAAAGTTTGATGATTCTTAGCCAATTATAACTGAAGATATTTTAATAAAGCTATAAAAAAAAAAACATAAGTAGGTCACAATGACCTACTTTAAGATTGAAGTTTTCTGAGGACTCAATATGCATTAATAGACAAAGACTGAAGATTCTAAGCCAATAAGTATGTGAGATAGTCAAAAGTAAGTCACTTTGACCTACTTTTTCATCTACATTCTTGGAAAAAATAAAATGCATCAACTGACAAAGTTTGATTATTCCAAGCCAATAAGTACTGGAGATACTTAATTATAGCCATAAAATGTTAAAAGTAGGTCACTGTGACCTAAATTTTAGTAGGCGATTTTCGAAAGCCTAAAATACATCAACTGACAAAGTTTGATGATTCTCAGTCAATATGTATCCAAGATTCAAAAGTATTCAAAAGTAGGTCACCATGACCTACTTTTTGGTCATCACTCTCCGAAAACCCAAGATGCATCAACCCACAAAGTTTGATGATTCTAAGCTTCTAAATACCTAAGATACTTAAATAAAGCTAAAAAATGTCAAAAGTAGGTCACCATGACCTACTTTTTGGTCATCACTCTCCGAAAACCCAAGATGCATCAACTCACAAAGTTTGATGATTCTAAGCTTATTAATACCTAAGATGCTTAAATAAAGCTATAAAATGTCAAAAGTAGGTCACCGTGACCTACTTTTTGGTCGTCACTCTCCGAAAACCCAAGATGCATCAACTCACAATGTTTGATGATTCTAAGCTTATAAATACCTAAGATACTTAAATAAAGCTATAAAATGTCAAAAGTAGGTCACCGTGACCTACTTTTTGGTCGTCACTCTCCGAAAACCCAAGATGCATCAACTCACAAAGTTTGATGATTCTTAGCCAATAAATACCGAAGATACTTCAATAAAGCCATAAAATGTCAAAAGTAGGTCACCGTGACCTACATTTTAGTCAACATTTTTCAAAGTCCCAAGATGCATCTGCTGACCAAGTTTGATGATCGTAGGTCTGAAGGTAATCAAAATATGCCTTTTTAAACAATATGAAAACATATGCCTGCAAAATTCAAAAAGTAGGTCACAGTGACCTACTTTTTCATAAATATGTTTTAAGGTCCCAAGATGCAGCAATTTACAAGATTTGATGATTCTAACCCTCTCAGTGTCTGCAATAATGGGATTAAATGTTTTAAAAAGGATAAGTCATAAAGTTCAAAAAGTAGGTCAAGGTGACCTACTTTTAAGTTGATGTTGTTCAAGGACCCAAGATGCATCAACTAACACAGTTTGATGATCATAGGCCTTAAAGTGTCCAAAATATGCCTTCAAATCAATTTGAAAACAAATGCCCGCAAAATTAAAAAAGTAGGTCACTGTGACCTACTTCTGATTTAACATGATGTGAAGTCTTAAGATGCATCAACTTACAAGATTTGATGATCCTAGTCCTTATAGTAAGCAAAATATAAACGTTTTTATCAATTGTAAATTTACGTCAACTTTGAAGTGACCTTGAGACCACGCCCTTTGCCCCAGGGTCATGCCTTGAACAATTTTTAATCTTCAACATATTCTGATCCTTGTGTGTAAGTTTGGTGAAAATCTGCCTGGTGGTTCTGGAGAAGAAGATTTTTTAGCAACCAGTACTTTTGGTTTTGTTTTCGTGATTATCTCCCCTTGTTTAAGGGTCCCAACCCTTATTTTAGTATAAATGGTAGCCCTTGGGCCAAGGATACCCTGTGACAAATTTGACACTGATTGGCCAAGGCGTTCTTGAGTTATGGCCCATTTTCTAAAAAGTTAACGCACACCGCACGACGCACACCGCACAAATGGCCATAGCATTAGCTCTTTGAGCCTTTGGCTCAGAAGAGCTAAAAATATATAGTATTAATTGAATTGAAACAGTGCTCCATCTCACTAAGTAATGCAAATCCTACTGCTACAATGCACAATAACAGAGAATCCTTATTAGGAATACATGCATGGTACAAAGTATTATAATTGTATAAAATATTGTAACTGAACATATTAACAACAGATAGGCTTGTGATCATGTCCTTGCAGAAGACAAATTAAAACAAACAAACAAAACCTATGTAAGGCCATCCTTAAAAAAATGTTTGTTTGGAATTGCCGCCTGGAGGTTTTCAGACCCAGGAGGGAGGGAGGGAATTTATTTTTTTTTTTTACAAATTGAAGCTAATTAATAGAAATTAAAAATCACAATGAACCGTGGTGATTTTCGTTAATTTCCCTCTTTCTTTTATTTGAATTATATCATTTTTGTCTAAAATATACACAGAACGGTACTCAAGTATCAATCTTTCTTCGATGTTAGATTTGCTTATCTATTAAAAGTCAAATTTCAGCGTCAAACTTTCTTCTTTATTTTAACAATCTTTTTAAAACAATTTCTTTACAAATCTTTTTAAAACAATTTCATTGGTGTATTTCATAGCATGTCTCTTTGAAATTTAGCCCTTCATTAAGACAACCCTTACAAAGAGTGCGAACCACACAAAATTACTTAAGAATAGTTGGGATGTTTTGTGTAAAAAAACGGGAGGGGGTGCTTGGTATGTTCTAAAGTGTTCGCCATGAATAAGTTTTAACATTAATAGGTGTCAAAGACTTGTCATACTGATAGACAACATTTTTCCTTTGGTATTTGGGAATAAACATTTCTGACCCATGTAATTTTTTTACCAGGGAACTGAACGATCATTTTCAATTTCAACATGACGGACTTATCCTATCAAGTTCAAAGGCAATCTATTACAATAGCTCTTTCCAGGTATTGGTGTATCATTCCATTTAATGTTTTATTCATCTCTTATTTTTATGAAGATGCATAAATGTTCTGGTCTTCAAGGCTTGAATGTTTTCACATCCACTGATCCAACTTGGTCTGACATTTCGGCGGCTTTCATTTTTTCAAATCGCCACCTATATTCCCTCAATCTCCCATGCAGAGTTGTCATTCGTTCTTCTCCTATGAGCAGATGGTAGAGAGTGATATTCCCTATATCATAAATACTATGAAGAAAGCGTTTTATTGACCGGTATTGTTAAATTTATGTGAGCTCAAACCCGACTTTAAAAAGCTATTTCGAAGAACGAACTAACTTGAAAAAGCGATGTCGGACATAAGACTGTAAAAAAAATATTTCCAATTTTTTGCCAATAAAATTTTTTAAGCGGGGGGTATTTCAATGAGGCGGGCGGCAATTCCAAACAAACTAAAATTTTATTTTGGCCTAAAAGCAAAGTTCACCTGAAATAATTCTGGGTCTGTCATAAAGTTAAATTTCTCCATTAAACGGGTTTCTGATGAGACTTTAGCTCTAATGGTGTGTGTACTTATTAAAAAGAAAGATACATCTTACTACAGTCAACTGGACTGAGTCTTATTAAAACAGTAGAAGTAGTGTTTTTGAAAAAAACTGTTTACAGAAAGACAGATGGACAATGGACACCATACTAATGCATAAGCTCTTCTAGTCTCTATCCAGTAAAGCTAAAATTGCCCCTGACATAGTGTATGTGTGTGTTACCTGGTCCCCCCAGCAGGGTCTCCAGATAGAACAGCAGGGTAAAGCCTTTCTCATAGGGAACAATGGAGAAGGCATCGTCTGGATCCACTCCCTTAAGATCTGGGATCAGTCGTGTGTAGGGACCATTCTTCAACACTACTTCCTGAAATAAAATCAATGCTGGTCCATTTTCAATGAGAAACCAACAATTAAGATTTAAGATTACCCTTAAACAAGAGTCTAGCTATTAAATAAAGCAAGTTTCTACTGTTCTGTAATAATTGAAAGAATCTTTCCATAAAATTATTTTCTAATCAATGATTTATGATAACATGTATTAAGTACAATTTCTTCTTCCAATTCTTTTGCCCCTCCCAGAGCCAGGAACTGACGAAATGCCTCATTGTCATGTAACCTTGATGTGATCTTTCTCTCCACAAACATGGTGTGACCTTCATTTAACCTGGAAAGTCAAAGGTCATCTTCAAATCTAATGCACATCAACCTTCCATCAGGATAAATGAAAGTCACTGACTGATGTGTGGAACTGAGGACAATTCTATTGCTAAAATTCCTCTCTGCTCTCCAACAAACAGCGAAATTCTGTGTATGCTTAGAGCATGAGTGCTTTAACATAGTTTGATTTAAGAAAAAGAAAATTTTAGAAGTGTTCAGAATTGAATTTTAAATTTACAATTGTCTCTTTTAGACTTTTGGATCCTCCAATGGCCATGAATTGACGGAGAGCCTCACTGTTGTGTAAACGTCCTGTGATCTTCCTCTCCACAAACACAGTGTGACCTTCATTTAACCTGAAAAGGTCAAAGGTTATAGACTTATAGTGATCTTCCTCTCCACAAACACAGTGTGGCCTTCATTTAACCTGAAAAGGTCAAAGGTTATAGAGTTATAGTGATCTTCGAAAAGATCTTCAAAAAGGTCAAAGGTTATAGAGATCTTCCTCTCCATAAACAAAGTGTGACCTTCATTTAACCTGAAAAGGTCAGATTATAGAACTTAATCAGTAAAATGATTAAAAATTCAAAAATTAATAAAGGCACAAGTCATATTTGTGGAGCAAAGAAAAATCACAAGAACGATTTCATCAATGTAAGGTTTAACTTTTGTTTTAATAATGCCTCTCCATCACCATAAATTGAACTTTTTTATGTTTAACTTTTTTGATAATTTGTTTAAATCAAAATTTAAAAAAACTATTTATGCAATTAAATACAAATACTGGGTACAAATACTAAGTTCCTAATAAAGCAGTTTTTTACGCCCCGCCATGAATATGGCCGGGGCATATAGTGTTTGTCATGTCCGTCTTCCGTCCTTCCGTCACACTTTGTGTTTAGCTCTGTTCAAAGCTAAGTTTCAAAGAAACTATCCAAGATATTTTCATCAAACTTCATATGCTGATAGATATTGATGAGAGCTATGCAACTGCATCAACATTTTTTGACCTTGACCTTTCGTTTGACCTTGATCTCACTTTTCTTAAATTAGTGTTTAGCTCAGTTTTAAACATACCATTCAAGATGGTGTTATCAAACTTCACATGTGGATACAAACTTGCACGGATGATGCATCTAGGGATGAACACTACAAGACTTGCTTCGGATGCTGGATCTGACCTACATTTTCCAGTTGAGTGACCAGATTTTTGGAGCAGGTCCATTCCTAAGGAACTATAAGCCCAACTTGGACCAAACTTGCATGGATGATGCATCTAAGGATGGACACTACCAGACTTGCTTCGGATGCTGGATCTGACCTACATTTTCATTCCCAAGTAACTATAAGCCCTACCTGAACCAAACTTGAATGGATGATGCATCTAAGGATGGACACTACCAGACTTGCTTTGGATGCTGGATCTGACCTATATTTTCCTTCCCAAG